GTTCTCTGAGGCCCGCAGACCTAGCAGCCCTGGCAAAGGGTTCTGAAGAGATGGCTGTGGATTCTGCAGAATCAGAGGCTGGAAAGGGAGAATACTGAGTGCAGCTGTGTGCTGGCAGCCACATCTTTATGTCCTCCCCTCTGTTAACATTCTTTATTGCATACTTTTTAAAAAAAAAATAAACTAAACAAAACAAAACAAAGTTCCCTGTCTAGATACCGGCCTTTCTTGGAAGAGCCAGTTAGCCAACTAGTGAACACCTCTGGAGCAAATACATTTGTTTTCTCTAAGACATTAATAGCTATGTCTGTGTGCTCAGCTAAAGCTTCTAAGTAGATAAGGGAATTCAGGCAACACACGTTATTTTACAGTGAAGAATAAGTCCCTCACACCACGTGCGAATGAATAGCATGGAAGTGGTTTCACCCTGCCTTGTGAGAGGGCTGAGAAGCAGAGTGCAGCTCGGGCTCCACCCACGCTATAGAAAGTCAGGTTCTCACAGGTAGTCTCTTCATTAATTTTCCTCCCCAGCTGGGAGACCTAAGCTGCCTACCCAGCCTATGTCCCCACATTGTACCGGGTCACTTCTCGACCTCCTTCCTGGATGGTATGTAAGTAAGTGCTGAGCACTGGGCTTGATTTAAAGAACCCTGCTCTAAAATGGACCCACTAGGACTTCCAGATGTCATAATAAAGTAGAAGCCAGAAAGAGATCCTGTTGTCAGGCCCAGCTGGGAGTGCCAGGATTCTCTTGAGATAGTGGTAAAATTCCAGCGGGCGCAGACCCGAGGCATCCAATCTCTTGGGCGTGCTGGCAGCCCCTCTGCTTACGCAGTTAATTCCGTTACCCTAAGAGCTCTTTTTTTTTTTTTTGTCTTTACATTTTACCTTGTGCATATGTATGCATGCACATGTGCAATATGTGAGGGTCTGAGGAAAATTACTGGGCTTTGCTTCTCTCCTGTACCATGTGGGTCCAGGGAATCAAAACTCAGATCCTCAGGGTTGGCAGCAAGTGCCGAGTCACCTTTGGCCCTTGATGGAGTTCTTTCAGGCCAAGAGCCCAGGGGGTGGATCTTTTTCAACCGGAGTGTCCGCTTACGAAGTTCAGGGACTTCATACTACAGACCGCACCCGGGCTGCTTCGCCCGAAGGCGAGTGCTCAGCAGTTACCTTGGAAACAAACAGAGCAAACGAGCACTCGGAACAGCCGCTCCTGGAACCTCAAGCATCTCGGGAGCAACGATCTTTCCGTACTCCCACAACATCCGGTGGTCTTCCCGCCAGGATCTCTTCCGGTCCCGCCCATTGAGGGCAGTCGCCGCCGGCTACGGAGTCCCTACGCTACCAACTTCCGCATTGACCCACCCATCGCGAGACTTTGGCGGCGCCGCAATGGCAAGACCGTGAGTACCGCTGACGGGAGTCTATGAGTTAGGACGGTTCTGGGCCGAGGTCGGGCTGCGGGGGAGCCGGCAGGCTCAGGCCCTCTGGAAGGAGTGGCGGCTGGGCGTGAAGGCAGTCCTCCCCCGACTGCCGCCCACGACTCAGTGCCCGCCCCTTCCCCAGATGCCGCGACACTGCTCCGCCGCCGGCTGCTGCACTCGGGATACGCGTGAGACTCGCAACCGCGGCATCTCCTTCCACAGGTCAGCGCGCGTGCGTAGTGGCACGCGAGGGCTCACATGCGCAGGCGCTGGTGTTGCGGCACTTTAGGCCGCGCAGGAGACGGCGCCTTCCTGAGGTCGAAGTGAGGCTTGAACTTGTGAGCGGGAGGGTGAAAGGGGCGGTCGAGTGATCTCGAGTCCAACAGAAAAGGGACTGGACGCTTACTTACCTTGGACTTGGAGCTGTGGCTCTTTCCTGCTAGGTGATGCTGAGCAGGCCCCGTTCCTCCTCTCGTCCTCAGTTTCCCCTTAGCGGGTGGTAATCGGAAAGGGCCGTGGGGAGGTCTGCCAGTCTTGCCTGGGGAGCTTGGGCATCCTTATCGCAGGCTGCAGCATCCTGGTGCTCACGGTTTTGTGGCTCTGCAGACTTCCCAAGAAAGACAATCCCAGGCGCGGCTTGTGGCTGGCCAACTGTCAGCGGCTGGACCCCAGCGGCCAGGGCCTGTGGGACCCGGCCTCTGAATACATCTACTTCTGCTCCAAACACTTCGAGGAAAACTGCTTTGAGCTGGTGGGAATCAGGTGGGTCTTACTGCCAGCCAACGCTAGAATGGGTTGTGAGGCATCAGAGCAGTGGGTTAAGCGGGGCAGCTCTATGCCCTGGTGAGGTCCGTGAATAACTGGCTCGCATGCTCAGACAGACCTGTTGCCAAGGGTGCTGTGCCTTCCCAATTCTGTACAGAAGAGCATGGCCCCAGGATCACTGTGTCAGTGGCATCAGAGAAAACGTCTTTCCCAGTTGGTGAAATAGACCCGTTGGTAGACTTGGTATGCAAGCGGGAGGACTTGAATTCAAATTCAATACCCAAATAAAAAGCCACGTGTGGTTGCCTGTTTTTTAATCCCAGGCCTGGAGAAGACAAAACCAAAAAGGTTCCCTGGGCTCACTGAGCAGCTCGCTAGTCTAGATTAAGTTATCGAGCCCTATGTTCAAGGAGAGACTGTATTAAAAACAAGTCAATTTAAGTAAATGAAAAAATAAAGTGGGTGTTCAGGAGAGATGGCTTAACAGTTTAGAGCACTTGTTACTCTTCATAGGACCAGAGTTCAATTCCAGCTCCAAGGGATCCCTTGCCTTCCTCCTTGTGAGGGCACAGGTGGTACACATACATACACGCAGCAAAACATTCATACTCCTAAGATAAATAGGGCTGGCTAGGTGGCTCAGAGGTTAAGACCGCTGGCGTCAAGCCAGGCAGTGGTGGCGCACACCTTTAATCCCAGCACTCGGGAGGCAGAGGCAGTGGATTTTTGTGAGTTCGAGACCAGCCTGGTCTACAAGAGCTAGTTCCAGGACAGGCTCCAGAGTACACAGAGAAACCCGGTCTCAAAAACCAAAGAGCACTGACTTCTTCCAGACAACCTGGGCTCATTTGCCATCACCCACACGGTGGCTCACACAGTAAACTCTAGCTCAGGGGACCCAGTGCTCTTTCCTGACTTCACATGGCGAACAGTCACAGGCATGGCAAAACACCCCACATCTAAACAAAGTGGTTTTAAGGAGAAAAAGGAAATCTTTACAAAGGTGGAGAATAATTGAGGAAGGCCTCTGATCTCCACACAAAAGAGAAAAGGTATTCAGCACCTGCTTCTTCCGGCTCTGGGTGGAGGTTTTGCACTCGTCTCCGGAAGACTAGTTTGACTTCACTGAGCATGGCATTCTTCAGATTTATTGGCAGTGTGCCTCAGAGCCTCAGCCCTAGTGCTAGGGGCCTATGTTGGGACCCCAGGGGAAGTGGCAGCCCTTTTTCTCCAGCTCATCTGGGCTGCTTTTCCCCACAGTGGGTATCACAGGCTGAAGGAAGGGGCAGTCCCCACCATATTTGAATCTTTCTCCAAGTTACGTCGAACAACCAAGACCAAGGGGCATGGTTATCCACCTGGCCTGCCTGATGTCAGCCGGCTCCGGCGATGCAGGAAGCGGTATGTGCAGGAGGGGGATGCCCCACCCTCCCCCCCAGGGCTGAGGGACTGGACTGCAATTGCCAGCATCTTCACTAAACAGCGGTCTTGCTGCCTAAACCCAGTGAAGGGGCTAAGGTGTTAGGGAGTCTACATGGGTACATGAGAGGGGCCTGGCATGCCCTCAGTTGGCTAGTCAGTTTCTTTCTGTCTCCCCTCCAGCTGCTCTGAAGGTCAAGGACCCACAACTCCGTTTTCCCCAATTCCTGCTAACATCATCTGCTTCCCCGTGGAAGAAGCCTCAGCACCTGCCACTCTGCCTGCATCCCCAGCTGTGAGGCTGGAACCTGGCCTTAACAGCCCCTTCTCAGATCTTCTGGGCCCTCTGGGTGCCCAAGCAGATGAAGCAGGCTGTAGTGCCCAGCCTTCACCAGAGCAGCACCCCTCCCCTCTTGAGCCTCGGCCTATCTCCCCATCTGCTTACATGTTACGGCTGCCGCCACCTGCTGGAGCCTACATCCAGAATGAGCACAGCTACCAAGTGGGGAGTGCCCTGCTCTGGAAGAGGAGAGCTGAAGCCGCTCTTGATGCTCTGGACAAGGCCCAGCGCCAGCTGCAAGCCTGCAAACGGCGGGAGCAGCGGCTTAGGCTTCGACTGACCAAGCTGCAGCAGGAACGGGCACGAGAGAAGCGGGCACAGGCAGATGCCCGCCAAACCCTGAAGGACCATGTACAGGACTTTGCTATGCAGCTGAGCAACAGCATGGCATGAGGATGCACTACGGCTTAGAGACACTTGATTGGAACTGCATCTACCAGGCTGGCCAGAAGTCACAATAAAGTGGATGCTAGAAAGAGACCGTGCAGTCTGGTTCAGCTGGGGGTGCTAGCCTCCTACCCAGACAGTGGCCAAAGCCCCAAAGGGTTCAGTCCCTGGCAGGTAACCTCTTGGCCATGGGGAATCTTTGTCTGCAGTCCCTCTGCTTATTTAGTTACTTTCTAGGTAAGCCAGCTCCTCTGGTTCAGCTCTGCCCCCCTCCCAGTCCTTTTTTTGAATCAGGCTGGTATCATTGAAGCTTGAACTCCTAATCCTCCTTCTTAGACCTTCTGAATAGAATGATAGGCATGTGCCATCATGCAAAATGTCAGACTTGGTTCTCATGTGAAGGAAGCTTCTGTCCGCTCCTGGCCACATTTAGGAAGACTCAAAAGCAACGTAGGGTACTACACTTGTCAGGCTGAAGGCCACACTTAGGGAAATGTTAAGTCTTTTAGATCTTGGGAACATAGGCTTCTTACTATAGCTTTGTCCATGGTAAACACCAAGCACATGGCCTTTCCCTACTGCTCCTTGGCCACATAGCTCAAGCACAGTTGAGTTTCCGGCTGAGTTTGTACACAAGGTTGTCAAAAAGTTTTCTTTATGGATTCCTGGGTGAATATGTTTATTTGTATCCTATGTAGAGGAGACAATTGAAGGTCCAGTTAATTTACAGGGGTCAGCATGAAGCAAGATTTGTAGACCAAAGTTGTCAGGTGTTCCCCTCAAAAGAGGCTTGGATCCGATCACCACCTTGGGGGAGTGGCTCTGACACAGCACAACAGACTCACCCAACCTGTCTGGCCACCCACTGTGGGCTGGCACCTTCCACTCCCCTTCACTACTGCTGCTTGAGCTCAGCTACCAGCCCCAGCTTGTGCCTAGTACCTTATCTTATAACCAGGCCACTTCCTAGCTGTATGGGACTGCCACCCAGGGCACTTTTCTTCCTGGAGCCCCACAGTATGGGGTTAATGGAGCATAGGAGGGAACTTTGTTCTGTGTTCTAAGGCCAGGAAGACCCAAGCATTTCTCCAAAGTAAGTTGTGGCTTCCTACTGGGCTGTATTGGGATGTAGGCTTTCATGTCTTGATGTCAGGCAGCATGGATGGATGCCCCCAGACAGTCTAGGTCTCTGAGGAGATACCTCAATATGCAGTTTTCTCTTCCTTATGACTGACACCATGTTGACATAGGTAGAACAGGCAAGATGTGCTAAACCCACATCTGGGGAATCTCCTAAGCTAAGCTACAGAACTGTCCTGTGCTTTAGGAGGCAGACCAAAGGTAGCCACCATGCCAGCCAAGTGTGTATGTAGCATTGCCCCAGCTTTAAAGGAGGCATGTCAGTGACAGAAGACACACAGGAGCATCTGCTGACTTCTCTGGCCCAGATATGCACTCTGGGTGAGCTGGAATATGCAGCCTCTGGGAGGCTGAGCTACACTTGCTGCCCTGTGGACTGGGAGGAAAACCTTCCAAAGTTCATATCTAGGATCAGACCACTGTCACTGGTCCCCATTCTCAAGTTGTGGGTAAGGAGTGGAATATAGCCTGTTGCTAGAGTAACTTGCCAAGCCCTCACCCTGACAATAGGACTCCATGCCTGGATCCACAGCACACCCATGGGGAACACAAAGCCACACTTCTGTCATCTTTCTACCACTGAGTGGTATCCCTGAGTCTGGTCATCTTGGGAGAGGTGCCAGCTGGAAAGGGTGTCTGCTTCATTTGCCATTCCCTGTGGGGCCTGTGTCCAAAATGAAGCATGCCCTCTAGGAATTCAGTACACCTTGGTGCCTTGTACAAGCTGGGAACCACAGGTGGAATCACTCTGTAGGTGGAGATGTGGCCAATCGGTTGAGGGTCATCACTCTCCAAACAGGTAGAATCCTCTCAAAGATCCTCAGATGTCAGCACCCAGCTCTGCACACTGCTTGTCAGAGATGTGGGAGGCCAGGGAGTCAATGATGTCCAGCAGCAGCTGCTGGCTCAACAACCGCAGAGTGGGAAGCTTAGAGACCTGCACAGATGACCAAAACTAGATGAAATCAGACTCCCAGGAGGACCAGGGTGGGCAGCTGAGTCCTCTTGGGGTCCAGCCTGCTCAGGGCTTGGCTGTCTGAGGACGGTGGGCAATGGCCAAGAGGTGTCTGGGCCTGCTGGGGAGGGCTGGGACCTAGAGCACTGGGGCCGGAGCCTGACCTTGGTGAACTGGTGCACAATGATGTGCAAGCAGTGCCGCTTCATGTCCAATGCCTGCGTCTTGTCAGCCGCCTCCAGAATCTGCAACGGCAGGAACCATGAGGCCCAGCCCAGCTCACCCATGGGCAGAGGTGTGGCCCAGAGGTACCAAGCACTACCTGTAGCACATTCTGCACTGTTACGTTCATCTCCAGGTTCTGCTTGCAGTACGCCTGCAGTCTGTTGTTGTAGAAGCCATAGTAGTAGGGGGCTGCAAACAGGTAGCTGGGCACAAGTTAAGGAGCTGCCAAGTCAAAGGACACGTATTCACTTGTGTTCACCCATCCTGCCACATCTCTTGTCCTATTTGGGAGGGTACTGCCAGAACTACACAGACCTCAGAAGCCAGAGCTCCAGTTTGTGCCTCAGCTGGCTTGTTCTCTAAACTGGTTCTGAACCATTTCAGGCTCAAAGGCCCCAGTCAAGACCCAAAGAAAACCTGAATCCTCTCATTCCCACATGCACACCCACAGAACTCCTCCACGCCCTCGCTGGCCCCATCAGGTATCCTTGCACCTCAGGTTCAAACACTACTGACAGAGAGCACAAGGAATCACTGTCCAGCAGGCCTAGCACTGCACACTCTAGAATTAGGTGTCAGGCCAAGATCACCCAGCCAGCAGAGCAACAGGAACCAAACATGACCCAGGAGCACCAGCAGATAAAGGATGCAGTGAGTCCTCAGGGGGCATGTTGACCTCGCCATAGTAGATGTAACGTAGCATGGACTCAAAGGCCTGTCTGCTAGGCACCATCTCCCCGATAGAGATGTTCACCTGCCCATCCTCCGGCATGAATGAACGGAACATGGCCTCAAAGTAGCTGCAAACGAGGAGGTAGATCCCAACTCTTAGGAGAAGAAAGCATCGAGACCCTGCCCTGCCCTGCCCTCCCTCAAACACCCTCAACATACCTGGACCGGGCAGCTAGGATGGCTTTGTGGGCTGGTCGTGGGTGGCCATCTAGCAGTAGTGTGATGTCACAGAACTCTGAGCCTGCCCCCTCCAAGTATGCCTTCATGTCCTGGATCAAAGATGTGCCTAGGGGGTGTGGAAGGACCTTAGAAGATTCCCACTTCCACCCTGAACGAAGAGGCCACCTTTGTTTTCTGGACGAATAAACACCACCTTTCCACAGTGACCATGTCGCTGCTCTGCTCAGAGTTTCCCCAAGTCAGGAGTACCAGTCTTTTCCTTCCCTTGGCCCTCAGGACACCTGGAAACCGCAAGTCCTTGTTCTGGCCCTCAGGGATGCTGCACGGATACCCGATCTTCCACGATGTGCCCTCTATGCCCAGCTCCCAGTCTCATGCTGGACTCCCCTCCTGGCCTATCTTTTGGACCCTCATGCCAGTGGCAGGGGCTAGTACAAGCCCCAAAGAGAGCTGGGGAAGTGAAGGTGCTATCAATCTTCCCCACCAGGTAGGACAAGAAGTGCTAGACAATAGGTAGCTGCAGCTGCCTTGCTCACTTGACATCAGATCTGACCAGCCAACCAGAGAAGGCACAGGGCACTCTGAGGAGTGGGTTTCGTGGTCCCCAGGCTCACTGGTACACAGCTTGCTGTTGAAAGCCACTATGAATACTTTTGAGAAAGGCCTGCTTCTGTCCCTCCCTGCTTTTATGACTGTGGGTCCACCTGGTGGGCCACAGAGCCACCCTTACCCCAAGGGCCTGGCAGGTAGTTAAGGCTTTTGTCACCAGTTCCCTACCAATGTCCACAGGTTGATCCGAGGGGGCTCGAGGGGGTGGCTGCTGCTTCCGCCTCACAATCTCTACAATCAGTGGGGACGAGAGGCGCTCGAACTCCTTCATCATGATCACCTGATTGAAGTGGGATTCCTTCACTATGAAGTTCAGGCAGTGCTCCTGGGACAGACAGGCACAGCAAGCAATTGGAATCAGGTCAAGGCCCAGGCTGGGCAGCAGAGTTTGCAGTGAGGAGCAAGGGGACACACCCCACCCCAGCCAGGAAGGCCTGGCTTGTACCTTGAGCTGGCCCAGCTGGAGCCTGGCTGCGCTCTCACACACAACCAGCACGTTTTGCAGATCCACAGAGGCCTCGATGTACTGCCGGCACAGCTGCTCAAGGCGACACAGCTGGAAGCTGAGCGCCAACTTGTAGACATCCATGATGAGCAGCACGTCCTCTACATGGCCTGTGCCAAAAAGCCCCTGAGCCTAGAGCCTCAGGAAAGGAGGGCCTAGAAAAGGGCCCAGGGCTCCCTCCATGCATAAGAGGGTCAGGGCTGCAAGATGGCAGCTGGACTACATGCCAGCTGAGTATGGCTTGTGCCGCAGGCACATCTGTAACAGCCCTCTCAGTACCACCTCTGCCTCTCCACATTCCCCACCCTGGTCCGCACCACCCATACCCGAAGCGGACCTTTCCGTGGGTACTTGATCTTGTCTGTGTAGAGAAACTGCATGAGCACCTCGAATGGCCGGGCCTCGGCCTCACGAATGGCCACACGTAACAGGGGCGGCCGTGCCCTGCCCACAGCTGAACCAGGGGCTTCCCTGGGAGCTAGAGCCCCATCCTCCTCCAGCTTCTGTGGGGAAAAGGGAGCTCAGGGCATTCTAGTAAACAGTGGCCAAAGCTTCCCAGTCATGGGGGATAAGGAAGACCTTACCTGGGCCAGCCACTCTCGAGCCTGCAAGATCTTCCTACGAAGCCAGCGGCTCCGTGCAGTGACGATGGCAACATGGCCCTGCACGCACTCTTCCTTCTGCATAAAGGATGAATAGTATGTGGGTGAAAGCACAGGACCCCTGCCCCGGGGACAGATGCCATCAGGCCAGGACAAAGCTCTACTCAGCAGCTATAGGTGAGGCTGGTATAGGTCAGTCACCTACCTCACCAAGCACAAACTCCACATCACAGAACTGGCGGCCCTCCCAAAGGCGCCCATAGTCTTCATGCAGTGTGCACTTAGGGTAGCAAGAGAACTGCAGAAGGAGACTCAGTGAGCAAGCAACAAAGGCTATCCTGAGACCAGCCAGCCATGACCCTCAGGGTCAGGTGAGGGCTGTAGTGCCTGGGCCACGACTAAAGCCTCCAAGGTCCACTGTTATTTCCTTGATGTAGACTCCCAGGCTTTAGGCAGGCTGCATCATTTCTAAAAACCTGGACCCAGGTACTCCAGCAACCCCATCTCCCCGGACCCACCACTGAAACAGATTCATCCATGCCTCCACTATGCCAGGGGACCCTATACTAACAACCTGTTCCTCCAGGTTTGGGAAGGCTGGCTCCCTACAGCTTTCCCTAGGCTGATTTCCCTGGAGGCCCCAGCACAGAGCCCAGCTTGCCCACTCCTTTGCTGGTTCTGTGTGCTCCCCTGGTAACGCTTCTCTGTAGCTGAGGCTCTGCTTGCCTCAGTCTGCATTAAGGCCCCTTCCTTCTAGCATCATCTCTGCCTATCTGGACCGACAGCATCCCCAGCCCTCTCCACCAGACTACTCAGAGATACCATCAACCCACAGGCTTAGCTATCAACAGGCACCCTTGCACGGCCCTAGTCTCACCCACTGGCCTCAGTTGCCTCCCTGGGACCCACCTACCCAGCAGGCCTCACAGGCCCACTAGCCACACACCTGGAACCTGTACATTTCCCCACTGCGAATGTTGTTGTCCACCGTGCCCCCAAAGATGTACATGGCATCAGAGATGACAGCGGCTGCATGGAAGAGCCTCCCGCTGGGCAGCTGAGGAGCAAGTAGACAAGCAATGGGATGGGGCCAACAGCGAACCTGCTGTGGCCAAGCCAGTGTCACGGATCTATGTGGCCATGAAAGAGGAGAGGCCAAAGATCCCAGTCCCTTGCGGGTGCAGAGGGATGCTGGGGTGGGGCAGAGGGCAGGGTAGGTTGTGCAGAACCCCGGGTTAACAGCAGATTTGGGGCACTGTGTCACACTGACTGAAGGGTAAAGCCGGAGGGTAAGAGCCACATGCTGCTCTTCCAGGAGCCCTGCTCTACCCTCTGAGAGTTCCTGCATCAGAGAGGAATGGAATGTTAATAAACGCCCTGACACTCACCTCTGATGCCAGGTGCACAGGCTGCTTGGAGGAAGTGGTGCCAAAGTCTAAGCCAAACACATCTCTGGACTTTTTAAAGCTGCTCCGCTCCTCTGAGGTTAGGATTGATGCCTCCTCAGAAGAGGAAGCTCGCTCAGGCACCTCGGCCCCACCAACCTTGAGGAAAACATACGCAGGAAGGTAACAAGCCACCATCCCTTCCAGGGCTCGCTATGGGCTCCAGAGGAGGGACCAGACATCGGGTGAGGCTGTGAGGCTGGCCAGGGTGCTTCCCAGAGGTCTGCAGCACAGTGCGACCGACGGGACGCAGGCATGGAGCCCTGAAGAACATAGGACTACAGGCCTTGAGAGCTCTTAGGCTGCTCTTCTTGACTATATGGGACCAAGGGAATCCAGGTCAGAACTCACCTCGCTGTCAGAGCTGGGCTGGACAACCTCCCAGGTCTGGAAGTCCACATCATAGCAGTGCAGCTCATTGGGCAGTGTATTGTCCGCTGCACCCCCAAACACATAGAGATGGCGGTCAAAGGCCACCATGGTGTGTCCATAGCGCCGCTGTGGCGGGGGTGGGGAGCCCCGGAGCAGGTGCTCAGTAGGGATGCGTGTCCACCTGGGGCCATGACCATGAACCGACACTGATCTCTCACACACTCCCCACAGAAGGGCCTCCTATGAGGTTCCCCTAAAGTCCTTGTAGTGCCAGTGCATGGTCTAAGGGGAAATCACAGGCCTATGGGTCCAGCATCCCTTGACCTATTTAGCTCAGGCATTGGCCCTGCTCAGCTCCATGCAACCCAACATGGGGCCCTACCCAAGCTCCCTCTCCTCCCGCCACCATAGAGCAGACAGCAATGACAGGGCTGTACAGACTTGTGTTGTCCCGACTGTCCTGCTCACTGCCCTAACAGTAGAGTCCCCACCTGGGAGATGCCTGCCCTGGCACTAAGGGTCCTCCAGGGGCTCCTGGGACTTGACAACAAATCCCCTTTTCTGCTAAGTTAGCTGAAGAACCAAAACAGATGCAGGCTCATTCCACGGCTGCCCCCGTACTCAACAAGATTCCTTCCACCTAGATTTCTAGAAGCTTTTGAGTCCCCTCCAAAGCCCTATTCCTTTTTCTCTACTACTTCCAGTGCCAGAGGCTAGCCCCACCACAGGGGGCTAAGGCTAGCCAGCAGCCAAAGGAAGTAGACAGCCTACTTTACCCTGCTTATCCCATGGGATTAATGCTAACGACATTTGTTAGCAGTGCCAATGAGCAAGATACACAGGGCAAGGGGGATCCTTCTGACTCAGGCCATATCTTGCTGAGCTACAGCAATAGCCCAGGGGCCTATGAGGGTGTCAAACGCTCATACTCCAGGCTGTATGCTCTGCTCTGTGTGGGAACAGGAGAGATCACAACAGGTGCCAGACACAGGAACGAGCATTATTCATGTCCCTCAAAACCCAGGAAACTCACGTCTTGTCCTTGAATTCGAACTGGAAGAGGTTGTTGGTTATCTTGGCTCCACTCTGCCCTGAGAACACGAACATCTTATCCCGGCACACAGCCACAGGGAAGTTGCAGCAGGACGGGGGGATCTCCCCACTCTGGGCCACCTGCAGTAGGGGCACAGCTCAGCCAGGGCCTCACAGCCCTGGAGCTGCACTGTCCTACACTTGGAAGTGAGTAAACGGAGGTAGTTTCCAGCCTCTTCACACCCACACACACAGACCCAATTCTGATCAGCTGAGGCTAAAATCGGGAGGTTCATTTGGAACTAAAGATGCAGTTTCTACAAGAGAAATAAAGGTCCAGGGAAAAGCAATGACAAAAGGTTGCCCTGCTGTGTTCACACAAGGGTGGCCTGGAAGACGTCACATCTGTCACATGTGGCACTCTGCCCATGCTGGACTCAGAGCTTTCTCCTTCCTCTGACTCCACCTTGGCTTCTAGGGATCAAAGCCGGGGATGTGTGCATGCTGTGCTACCAAGGCCTCCACTCCAAAGCCTTTTATTACTTGATGATTCATTCATTCATTTTGGAGACAGGGTCTCTCTGTGCAGCTCTGGCTAACCTAAAACTCGCTATGTGGCCCAGGCTAACCCCAAACTCACTCCATAGCTGAGAATCACCCTGAATTTCTGACCCACTTCCCAATGCCAGGATTACAGGCATGTATCTCCACACCCAGATTACATGGGTCTACTGATCAAACCCAGGGCTTCATGCATGCTACATTACCAACTATACTATATCCTCAACTCACTTGGAGTCTTTGCTTAATACTGGAGTTGGGCTGGGGGAGGGTCAAGGAAAGGAAGAGGCGAGCCTTGGTAAAGGGAAGAAGGTAATCTGCCATATGCCACCTTAGCACCTCTCACTCATACACCAGCTTCCTTTACCCCCACCTCTTGATGCTGCAACCTGCCCCCCCCATGCCCCCCGACTTCCCACTGGCATCATGCTCCCTGCACCCCTCACCTCCTCCCAGCATGTGAGCTCTCGGTCTTGGAGGCCAATTGTCCACATGTCGTTCAACCTGCATGAGGACAGAGGAGATAGGATCCTTTGGTCCTGAGCCTGGCTGGAGGGATAGCTCCAGGGAAGAACCACTTGCCCTGTGTCAGGAGACAACCGTGCCATCTTTCTTAAAGAAACAGGAACTTCTGGGAAGAAGATGCTATGTCAAATCCCTGCACCCAGCCCCTAGCAGCTCTCACTTCCTGCTGACTCTCTGACCAGCCAGGACAGAAGTGGATTTACATATAACATCTGGGGTATGAGACAGGCACCTGAGGCAGGAAAAAGACGATGTATCCCATAAAGCCTACTGCTGCACGATGCCATTACTGGTCTCTGCAATGAGCAAGTTTAGAATGGGCACGCACTATTCGGCTATCAGATAAATACAACAACTTTTCTAAACCAAGGAGGAAGCCTGGTGTGGAGGCCACACCTTTAACCCCAGCACTCGGGCAGCAGGAGCAGGAAGAGCTCAGAGTTGAAAGCCAGCGTTCCGGGACAGCCAGGGCTACACAGAGACCTTGTCTTAAAACAAAACAAAACAAAACATAACACAATAAATAAAAAGAGAAAACTGTAACATGGGGAGGAACCCAGGGCTGGACCTAAGCTGAGATGCTTCTAGCCTCCAGGCCCCTGTAGCTCCAAATCTCCTCATCTGAAGAAATCCAGGGATCACAGACAAGCCCTCCCTCCACACTCCTCTCCTGAGAAACTCAAAACCCACCAGGGTAACTTACCCCAGCCTGAGTACTCAGGTGCCAAGAGGGCTTATTCTGCCCCTGAGGACATACGGAAGTAGGGTACATGGGCAGCCGCTTGCCTACCTGGCATTGCCATCATAGCCAGCAAAGATCCAGAGCTTGTCACTGTACACTGTGGCCCCATGGGCTGACCTGGCAACCGGCAACCTAGAACATAAAGAAACCAACGAGGAGGGGATGGAGAAAAGGCTCAACACTGAAGAGAACTCGTTCTCCAGGAGACACAGGTTCAATTCCCAGCATCCACATGGCAGCTCACAACCATCCCCCTGTAATTCCAGTTGCAGGGGGTCTGATGCTTTTGGGTCTCTTCAGGAACCAGGCATGAATGGGTACAGATATACATGCCAGCAAAATATTTGGTGTGTGTGTGGGGGTTATTTTATATGTGTGTGTATGTACATATATATAATTTTTTCTTTAATGAGGAAAGGTCATTAGAAAGGCTGAAGCACAGGGCTCTGTGTGTTCAGCAGCTAGGACCACATCTGCCTGACACTGGGGCTCAGAGGGTGGTGCTAGGGCACCGGAAGCAAACAATAGCACAAGAGGCAGCAGATGCATAAAAATTCAGATGGTGAAACTGGGCATGACGGTACATATCTGTAAGTCCTGATACTAGGGATGAAAGGAGGAGGATCAGAAGTTCAAGACCAGTCTCAGCTACATGGCAAGCCTAGGGTCAGTGGGACTGTGTGACACTCTGACTTAAAACAAACAGCAGAAAACACACAAAGGCAAAACCAAAAGAACCCTCCGAAGGGGCAGGGATGTGGCTCAGTTTGTGGGCTGCTTTCCTAGCATACCAGAGCCCTGGGCATGATTCCCAACACACACGAAACCAAGCATGGTGCAGTCCAGTCAGGGGCTGGAGGCAGTAGGATCAGATGTTTAAGGTCATCCTCAGCTATACACTGTAGGTTCAAAGCTAGCCTAGCCTACACGAGATCCTGTGTCAAAGATGGAGTGGGGAGAAATCAGATATAGGCCTTGGAATATGGCTCAATGATAAAGAAATTGCCTAGTATGAAAAAGGCCTTGGGTTCCATCCCCAGTGCTAAGAAAAAAATAAAAACAAAAGAAATTCTGTGGTCCACACAGGCCCAGCACCTCCCTAGGTGCTATGAAAATACTGAAGGGTGTACTCCCAAAACAGCCCCCCTCACTCCCAAAACAGCCCCCCTGGGTCCTGAGAAAGAAGGGGATGTATGCCTGGGCGCAGGCTGGGGCAGTGACTGGCTTCCGGCCTGCTGCAGACACCCTGTCTAGTCCTGCCCCCCGGGACTCAGCAGTGATGAAAATCAAGCAGTTAAGTCTCCCACCCATGGGCTCCCTGTCTGAAATGTGGCAGGAGGCACATCCCAGGCAGAAAGCCATTCTCTTACTGTGAAAGTTCCCAGCGAAACTGCTTACCTCCCTTCAATTTTCCACTCTGTCCATTGGCCAGTTGCAAACTTATATTCAAAGAGGTCATTTTTATTTTTCAAGTTAGAATTGGAATAAATATCTCCAGTATAGCCCCCTGGGTGAAGAGAATGGAAGTAAAGGTTAGAACTGAGGTACCATTTATTTAAATGTGGAGCCCTAGCTAACACGTACAAACCCCTAGCTCCATCTGCCCACCCAAACGCCCCTGCATGAGCCCTGGGGACGCAGAATGAGCAAACAGATGTTTCTTGCCCTAGCCGTCAGAGAGGACATCCCCATTCCCATGAGCTCAGAACATTAGGGAAATCAGTCCTCTCAAGCCAGAGGTTCAGGGCACTCCAGTGGACAAAGGCAGTGGCTAACACCTGCCCACCAGAGCTCAGAGAGCCTCCTGTAGGGTGGAGGAGGCAGGAGCTAGAAGTCTGTGGGTGCAGGAGGGTAAGAGGCTGCTTACCAAAGACGAACATGCTGCTCCCATAGACGACAGCTGAGTGGTGGTAACGGGGAGCTGGTGGGGTGCCAGTGGTAAAGGCTCTGGAGAGGCACAGGGTGAGGTCAGTGAGGGGTCAGTCAGGCACTGATACCTCCATACTTTGTTTTCCTTTCTCCCTTCCCCCTCCCTCTCTTCTACCTGTCCTCCCTTCTTTTCTTTCCAGGTTACGGTGTTGTTGTAAGTAGCCCCGGCTGGCATGTAACTCAGGGTGCTGTGTAGTCTAAGCTGGCCTTAAATTGGTCATCCTCCAACCTCAGTCCCCCGAATACGGGAATTAGAGAGGCATCACCATGACTACAGTAATTTAATTCCTGCAGACAGGTTCTCACTTTAGTGCCTAAGCTGGCCTCTAATTTATGGTTCAAGCGATCTTTCACTCGGTTGCTCAAAGAGATGAGAGAAGGGATGGATGCCAGGGCATCAGCCTTGCTCTACTACTGTATTTCTAAGGTACCGTTTCTCTCATAGAACCCCTAAAAACATCAGTAACCAGGAGAAAGCTAAAGTAGCAGGCATTAAACTCTTGCACATCCTGCCTGGGGGAAGGCCTTTGCTCCACACATTTCCAAACCTCCAAGAGGCTCTCAGAAGTTTTTTTCCCCGAGACAGGGTTTCAGAGGTAGCTCTGGCTCTCCTGAAACTCGCTCTGTAGACCAGGCTGGCCTCAGACAGATCCGCCTGTAGCTTTGGCTGTCCCGGAACTTGCTCTGTAGACCAGGCTGGCCTCAGACAGATCTGTCTGCCCCTGCCTCCTGAGTGCTGGGATTAAAAAGCCACCATCTCTGACGTCTTTTCCCTTTAAGCAGCGTCTTACTGTGTAATCTTGGCTGGCCTAGAAGTCACTGTATAGACCAGACTGGCCTCAGTTCACAGATATCTGCCATGTGCTAGGATTAAATGTGTGAGGCACCTGTGATGCCTGGCTGGGGGGAACTTTATCTATCTGTCTGTCTATCTATCTATCTATCTATCTATCTATCTATCTATCTATCTATCTATCTAATCATTTAGAGGATAGTTTACAATTTGCTTTTTCAAGTAAGCAATAGAACTTGACTTGATCCTGGTCTCAAGATCCTGGGATTATGGGCGTGCACTGCTACGCTCAGCCTTAGCAATTTACTTCTGCTTGTTTTTTGAGAGGGTCTTGCTATGTTACAAAGACTGGTCTCAGATTTGCCTGCTTGCCTCCCAAAGTCTAGATGGAATTGTCTGCCACCACTACACCTGGCTCTATGTCAATCTTTTACAGTGTTGGGTAATGGACCTGGAATTTGTGCTAAGTGCACCGCGAACACTGAGCTGAGCTACATCCCTAGATTTTTTTTAATTTTTGAGCTGGGGGTCCTGAACTCATGCTGTCCTTGATTTATGATCTTCTGCCTCAGCCTCCTGAGTGCTGGTATCACAGGTGTATGCCACCATGTTCGCCTGGCTTAAGCGTTTGATTAACAGTCACAGAGGCTTCAAAGTGATTTTCATTTTTGTTTCTCTCTCTCTCTCTCTGTGTGTGTGTGTGTGTATGCCTATAGGTGTGTGAATGAGTACCACAGGGCACATGAGGAGGTGAGGGGCAGCTGTGTGGATGAGGAGGTGAGGGGCAGCTGTGTGGATAAGGAGGTGAGGGGCAGCTGTGTGGAGCAGTTCTCTCCATTTTTACTTGACTCTGAGGATTGAACTCAGCTCACCAGGCTTGCCCAGCAGGTAGGGCTTTATCTGCTGAGCCATCTGGCTGGCCAAGGAAAATTTTTAAATTAGTTGAAGACTGGATCTGGAACTGGAGTTTAGTTCATCAAGTTGGGCTTGCCTTGCCTGCACTAAGCCTCCTCAGCCTGCCTAGGCCAAGCTCTGAGTTCAGTGCCCAATGTTGCATCAACCAGGCATGGGAGCAAATATCTGTAATCCCAGCACTCAGGTGCAGATGGAAGAGCACAAGCGGTCAGGGTCATCCTTCCCTGCAGAGCAAGTGTGAGGCCAGCCGGGATATACACGAGACCCTGTCTTTAAGAAAAGGCTAAAGTGCTTGCCTGACATATACCAGTGCCTAGATTTTACATCCAGCACAGAAAAACGAAATAAAAGAATTGGCAGCAGCTGTATTAAGATCAAGCATGAGAACAATCCCTGCTGCTATGCCATTGCTACCCGGGGACCAGGCAGGGGGCGGGGTCCTAGCTGGTGGTGGGGCTTTGTTGGTTTTGCTAACCTGACACAAGCTAGTTATCTGGGAATAGGGAAACACAGTTGAGAAGATGGCTCTATAATATCAGGCTGTAAGCAAGCCTGCAGTGATGTGGGAGGCCCCAGCTCATTTTAGGCGGTACCGCCCCTGGGCAGGTCCTGGGTGGTATAAGAAAGCCGGCTAAGCAAGCCAAGAGGAGCAGGCCGGTAAGCAGCATTCTTCCATGGCTTCTGCTTCAGCTCCTGACTCCAGACACCTGCCTGGAGTTCCTGCCCTGACTCCCTTCAGTGATGGACTGTGACATGAACACGTGAGCTGAGATTAACACTTTCCTCCCCAAGTCGCTTTTGGTCGTAGTGTTTCAGCACAATAGAAACCCTAAGATGGTGCATGACGGCAAGTGGAGCTGCCCTGCCTGGCTGGGTGTCCAGGGCAGTCACAAGACCTCCAGAGCTCTGCGTCCTCCTCTTCCAAAACAGACCCCATCCCAGAAGGCTGCTGCAGACCACAGAACACAACCAGAAGGGGCTGCGTGACACTGTGCTCCTGTGTGAGCAGATGCTGGAGCTGACAAGTCCAGTAAACCCTGAGTCTCAGGTCTGTGTCTCCCCTCAGACACGGGCTGCTGCAGGAAACACAGTATATGGCACCCCAAGAGGGCAGGTAGTGCGTTGCAAGGGCACACAGCTGAGATTGTGGTTCACAGGGTTTGCGTGCTGTTCAATGCTTGTGTGGGATCCACTGACAGGCAACTAGCCCTAAGAAACAGGGGTGGGACAGGAGGCCCTGCCGGCAGCCTGGAGGTGGCACTCTGAGAAAACTTATTAGCTGAGGCCTGCCCGTGCCCTCTCTGAGATCCCACAGCGGCTCCTGGCCCAGGAGAAATTCTGGTGACTGAAGCTCTCTCTCAGATCAGAGTCTAATTGCCACCAGACAGACCCCTTAGTTCACAGCATTTAGGATAATCATTCTCACAGAAAGCCGTGAGAAGGAGGAACGCCATCTAAGGTTCTCCTCTGTTCTATTTCCCTCCGGCCCTCCACGATGAGCTGACTCTATTTGCCAGTGAAGGCGGCACAGTGTTGCCGCTTTCCAGAAGGACAGGCGAGCCCTGCAGCTCAGAGACTACCCACCTGCACCAGGAGCAGTCCTTCACATCGAACCGCAGGAGATCGTTGAGCATCGTCTTTCTGAAAGGCAGAGAGAGAAGGTGGCAGGAGCCAGGCTACCCTGTGAAGGTGTTACCTCACCAGGATCTTAGAGATGGGCAAGGGTGTGCACCCAGGGTTGGAGACAACAAGAAGGGCCTGGCTCACTGACCTCCAGACTTGTCCAGACTCAGACAACCACCAATGTCCAAAGAACAAAATTGGTAACTAGTGATACAGGCAGCTAGGGCTCCTACACTGGCAGGGCCAGCCTGATCCCCCACCAGCAGCCCACTGAGAGGAGAGCAGGAGCTGGCCCAGAAGCTGGAGTTGTCACTCACCCTCTCTCCAGCCCTCAGAACTACTCCTACATTTAACCCTTCCGAGGCTGCACTACGATGAGATGCTGGCTTAAACATCAGTGGAGACTGCATGCTTTCCCACCTTCCTGCCACCTGCCATAACAACTGCATTAAAATGAACCCACTGTCCTCCGGGTCAGCCTGCATCACCGGAACTAAGATGAACCCAGTGTCCTCCGGGTCAGCCTGCATCACCGTTACCAACTCTTATTAAGATGGAAGAAGAAAAGTGAGTCAACGGCCCTCAAGCAGTCCCGTCAGACCAGGCCTTCACAGAGCATCCCGTCTCGCTCAGTCTGGGCCAGGTGGATACTCTCCCTGACTTCATTTTATGGGAGAAGAAGCATGGCTGAACAGCTAGGAGGGCAAAGCTTAGAAGCTGGTATCATGCCCTCCTTCATTTAACTCCTACTTAAACTTTGTGGTGCTTGTTAAAATGATGGGAGGTCACTGTTTTGAACTGAGTTCCTATACTGGGCCCCCAAAGGCCAGGGCAAACCAGAGCAGTTACTGGGGCCAAATGCCTCATAAACTCAAGCATTAAGGATCAGATAATCCCCAAACCTAACAGTTTGCCCGCAAAACTGGAGACTGCAGTCTTCCTGGGTGTGCATGATGAGGCCCCTGCTGAAGCTCTGAAGAACTCTAACCTAGCTGACCAGGCCCCAGCCCCAGCTTTCCCTGCTCCTACCTTTCAGTGTGCAAAGGTGCTACTGCCCTGTAGGAACTCTTCCTTCCACTGTTGAACGGAGGCTGCCCCGCTTTATCTTAAGTCACAGTCAAATAGATGCATAATTCAGCTTTCTCTAACTACTGCATACCGAAACCACTACCGCTATCACCACACAATTGTCTACCTGCTCCAGAAAACGCTAAGGACAGCGATCCTGAGTTACCACCGTCCACCTTATGTTGGACACTGGTCTTTTTGGTATGAGGAATTCTTACTAAGGCTCATCTTTTAACTCAGTAAACGCTGACTGGAACATCTGGGCACTGGTACAGCGAGGCGAGGAGAAAGATGCCCTGTCTTGGCAGAGGAAACAGCTCGGCACCAACACTTGCAGGCTGTGGGGGGTGTGGTGGGGGCAGATGGAGCTGGTAAGATGCAAGTGAGGCCAGAAAGGCCTCATCCATAGGAAGATTAGAAGGGAAGCGAGAAGCGTGTCTGGGAAGGAACAACATGGCAAAAGGCTGGACAGCAGGGTGTTTCGAACAATCCAAATGCAAGACAGCCAGAGGGCCGGCTGAGAATCAGGAAAACACAAGAGTGCAGTAGGCCTCATTCACTCCTGGGAGAACTCGATTTTACACAGGGAGGTACCAGGACATCACAGGGCAGTGAGCTGAGAGGAAGATGCTCTGACTGACAGCAGTTGTAAATGTATCCCCAGCTGCTCTTGAAAAAGAGGGCATGGATATAAGATAAATGCCAGAGGACCACGGCCAAGTGTGCATGCTCTAATAGAGACCTGAATATCTCACCTGCTCTAGATCAGCTACCCCAGGTAGGCTCCCTGACCAAGAGTCCCCTTCCTGGGCTTTCGGCCAGGTTCTGGGCCTGCAAACATATAATCTCTGTGGCAGCAATTCCTGCCAGCCTGGCACAATCACCGCTAGCCATAACCCCCATTAGGCCACACCAGGCCTAGCTCTGGAATTAGCATGCAGCCCTAAGCCATCCTTTGTATTACAGATAAACTTTGTTACCCTATGTGAATCTTGTCTGAGAGTTTCCCACTGATACAAAGCCTATGCAAAACTTGGTTAGGGGGCAACCCTGAAAACCGTGGTACCTCATGAATCAGGTATTTGCACTTGGCATTGTATTTTTGGAAGGTTCATTCAGGTTGTTTTGAGCATATGGAAATCTACTAGCTGACGTTTAATTATAGGGAAAATAAAAATGCTGAAGAGCTGAGGGAAGGGTTCAGTCCACAGAGCCTGGGTCCCCTACAGCTGCAAAGGTTAAGTTCATCCTCAAAGTGTCTCTGAGTCTTCATTTCATGGACCTGTGTGAACCCATACACCTGCACCACACTACCCGCGACAAACCGCAGCTTAACTAAGAAGTCTGTGTGCATGGAGACGCTCACCAGAACTGCAGGTCATTTCAAGGAAGATTATTTTCCAGGAAGTTAAAGCAACACAGGGAAATCACCAGAAGTGAGACATGCACAGCATCAATAAAACTGATTTTGGAGGCAGTGAGAGGGCTCAGCAAGAGATGGCACTTGCCACCAAGGCTCGCAATCTGAGACAACTCCTGCATGTTGTGGTCTGATCTCCATATGCACCCCCACAGAAATAGATGTAAAACCAACAACAAACATGTTCTCCATACTTTTTGTTACAAAGCAAGCAAGTGGGCAAAACTCAGAAGAAAGTATAGAGAAAGAAGAAAAGTGCCACTCAGGGTGATATAGGCTATAGAGTCAAAACAAGTATAGCTCCATGTACTGAGCATGCGCTGACATTTGATTGCCGGAGTGAGAAGGCTCTAAGGGCAGGATCTTCCTCACCGTAACTTGGGAACCAGGTACAAGGTACCTCACAGATAGGGAAATAGAGGCTCTCAGGACATGGCTCCCATTCTCAGACAACAGTCCGTCTCACCGTCATCGCCCGTCCCCTGCCATCACTCCCATCAAAACAGGCAAACTCACCCGTTGTCTCCGCCAAACACATAGATGGCATCCTTATAAGCCACGACTGTGTGCTTGCTACGCCTAGAAAGAAAGAGGTGAAGGGTGGTGGGACCGGGACTCTCTTGGCTGACACCCATGGTGACTGCCACATAAGTTTGGGTAAAAGCCTCTCAAATGCCAAGATCTACAGAGATCCTTCAATTTCATCAGAGAGCAGGGACGTCTGACATACCAAGGACTCTTCAAACTCCCACCTATACCTCTGCTCGGGGACCCAAATTGGACCCTTAGAAACACAACAAATAGGTCTGGTTGCTCTGCCTAGGGTCACTACTGACCCCAGGACATCACACGGGTTCTCGCCCCAGAGCCCATCCTGGGACCTCCTCAGCTCTCGTCCCCATTCCCAGTGCCTTCAGGATCCCCTGCACACTGTCGTACCGGGCGCCCACGAATTCGTCGCAGGGTGGGAGGCGTCGCCAGCGATGCACTGTTTCGAAGGGTCCAAAGTTGAGCGTCAGGTACTCGACACTATCTGAGCAGCTGTGGTCAAAGTCCACGCTCGGAGCCACTTTGGAGCGCACCCCTCCGACCAGGGCCCCGGCTCCGATCGGGCCCCCCGAGCCTCCGGGCGCAGCCATCCCCGGTTCAGGCCGGATGAGCTCCCCAGGTTGCAGGGCTCACGGCCACCGCCCGGGCCTCGCCGAGAGACCACATTTCCCGAAGAGCTCTGCGCCGACGCTGTAGCACGTCCGGCCAGCTTGCACCTAGCTAGGCCCGCCTTCCCGACAAGCTTTGCGCTTTCCTGCGCACTGCAAGCTGTCAGGGGTTCTGCGGCGGGGCCCTTCACGTTATTATACCGTGAGCACTTCACATTCTGAAAGCATTTGTGACCAAGAATCGGCTTGGATTTTCCCTTTCGGGAAACGCGCTCTGGCCAGAGCATGCCTTGTAGTTGGACTTTGCCATCGCCCGGAAGCTACCACCCCCGGAACTCCAAAATGAGGTTTCCGGCTTGCAGGCGGCTCCACCGTCCACCTTCTGTTTGCACCCCCCAAATCTGGCCTTCAGTGCTCCCCTTTCCCCTTGGCGTTATTATTGCCCGGGACTCTTGGTGGCAGAGAACCTCTAGGATCTCCGTTCCTGTTTAGGAGCAAGAGCTTCATCTATTTCTCCATTTGACCCAGGACCTGATGGGCAAGCCCCGCACTTGGCCACATCACGAACCGCGTATTTTAACATGTAGTTTAATGCCAGTTGAATTGTTCCTTCACCTTTGAAATGAGGATTCAGAAAGTTCAGGCAAAAGCTAATTGGTTTTCTAATTTCAACTTGGTTGTATTTTTTTTCTTTCTATGGTAAGCGCTTATAAATGTAAAATAATAAAAGTGAAGTCATGAGCAGCTTCACAATGGCTGTCCTAGCTGTACAAAAGATCATTGAGAAATACGGAGTAGGACTGGGCAAGTTTTTGAGGGGCTACTGTAATCCAGCTGAGTATTTTTATTTCTGAGTATATAACAATGAGGTGATTTTTTTTTCTTTTTTCTTTTTCTTTTTTTTTTTTTTTGGTTTTTCGAGACAGGGTTTCTCTGTGGTTTTGGAGCCTGTCCTGGAACTAGCTCTTGTAGACCAGGCTGGTCTCGAACTCACAGAGATCCGCCTGACTCTGCCTCCCAAGTGCTGGGATTAAAGGCGTGTGCCACCACCGCCCGGCTAATGAGGTGATTTAATAATGGTAGTAAAACAGCTCGGATTGCTGTGAGGAGCATGGAGTCTGCCTCAGGTCCCAGCTTCTGTCTTTCTTAAGTGGGCAAATATGAAAGCTGCCTCTGGCTTCTTGAAAACAAAACAAGATCTCATGTAGCTCAGTATGGACTCAGACTTCTGCTGTTACAGGTATGACACACCATACCTAGCTCTCCCTCAAGTGTTGGCCCAATTACACTGGGACACAGATCTGCAGGTACACGTGTTTTAATTTCAAGGTCATGTTGCAGGGTCTTGCTGGGAAGACAGTCCTGAGAGAGGAAACAGGCAGAGCCTGTTGTGCCTCTAAAACCAGCTGTCGATGACAGCTGAGGCCTTGGATGGACCATCTTCTAGAGGCAGCAGGAGCCTCTCTGGAGGGGAGGCAGACAGTTGAAGGCAGGCCATGGGAGGACTCAGATTCCACCCTGGGGGATCCTGGGAAATTGGAGATTGGCACTTGCTCCCAGGATGCGATCTCTGACCTTGGTGCCCTGGAGGCCTGCCCAAGTCCATCGCAGGAGAGCTCAGGATCCTTTCCCTGTGAGCCAAGACATGTCGCCGGTTCTGCAGGAATGAGGAGACAATGAGTCGGGCAGAAGAGGGTAGGTGCCCCATTCTAGGCACCATGAGCAGGGGACTGCTGTGTGTCACAGCCTAGCGCCCAGCAGGGAAATGGACTTGGGCAGGGCAGGAGGGTTTGATAATTGGGCTGGGGAAAGAAAGGCTCAGAAGAAAGGGAAAGACGAGAACACACGTACTTGCTGTGCAGCATAAACAACCTTTGCGAAGGCAAGAGGGAAAAACAGAAGGCCAAAGAAAGCATGTCATTTAGCAGGTCTACTCTGGGTCTTGTGATGTTTCCACCCTAGGATCTACCCCTGTCAGACAGCCTCAGTAACCCTTGGCCTGTCCCTAGTTCCTGTACACCGTCAAGCTACAGGGGACTCTCATTGGCACTGTGCTGGGAGACAGTAATGGCTAATGTTCAGTGCCTCCCAGACATCACACAGCCCCCAAATCTCTGTGTAGGACATATCCAGGGCAAAACTAGCTGTTTCCCCTCCCAGGCTTAGTACAAAATCATACTGGTCACGAGCCACCGGCTTGGGCTCCATCCCTCAGCACTGGCTCTACTCTGGGGCACACACCTGTTTCCCTTCTGCTCTTGTAATCACATCTGCTGCTAAAGCCTGCCCAGGAGCCATGGAAACTAAGTCTACAGGACTGTGGGAGCAATAGGCTGCCATGGGAGCTTGAGTAGGCCCTACCCAGGACACCCGAAGACCTCCCACACCCGCACTCACTCCACTTCCCGCTTCCGGATGGCTCGACCTGAGGCCAGCACCTCAGCCACCTTGGATACAATGGGATCGTAGTTCATGCTGGCCACAGCAATCACTTCGTCACCTCTATAGAGAGAAGGAGCCTGAGCCTGAGGACCACTAGGATAGTCCTTGAAGATCCCAATACTCTTCTGTCCACCTGGGGCACTGGGAAGCTCTTGTCCAGGAAAACAGATGTTCCTGGTCCTACTACTGTCAGCTGCATGAGAAAGCTCTGGAAGTTCCAGCCCTTGGCACAGTGCAGAGATGGGCCTAGCCTTAGCATCACCCCTTCTCTACCAGTATACCTGTCCTAGTTGTAGAACCCACCTCGGTTTCAACACTTACCCAAAGAACTATCCAGAAGACACAATATTGTTTGATGGTGGAAGGGTTATTACTGCCTCCTCATCTTTGCGATGTTGCCTGCTCAGCTACCCCTCTGCCCTTCACTTCCCTTTAGCCAAGCCCCTCCTGCTTTGGGAGCACTATGGCCATCCATTCCCAATAGCACTCCCGCTGCATCACACTCCCATGGTAGCCCATTTCTCTCACTTGGTGTAAAAAGCCACAAACTTCAGCTCTTCCAGATCCCCCTGAATGATGACATCATCGAAGCCTTCTCCGTAGCCTGTGGAAGGGAGAGGGTACCCATGTAAATTGGGGAAGGGGAGTCTTCATAGGCTCCCTACTCTGCCCTCTCAACAACCCCCCTACTCCTGTCTCCCCCTTGCCCTCTCTTATCTGTCTTGGTTTTCCTAGACAGAGTTTCTCTGTGCAGCCCTGGCTGTCCTGGAACTCACTCTGTAGACGAGGCTGGCCTCAATCTCAGAGATCCAGCTGCTTCTCCCTCCTAAGTGCTTGACCTGAGGTCATTTGCCACCATTTTCTGGATCCTACTCTTTTTTTTTTTTGAGATTTATTTATTTATTATGTATACAGTATTCTCAGTGCTCTGCCTGCACACACACCAGAAGAGGGTGCCAGATCTCATTACAGATGGTCATGAGCCATCATGTGGTTGCTGGGAATTGAACTCAGGACCTCTGGAAAAACAGCCAGTGCTCTTAACCACTGAGCCATCTCTCCAGCACGGTCCTACTCTTTTTTTAAAACTACATTTGTGTGTGTGTGTGTGTGTGTGTGTGTGTGTGTGTGTGTGTGCATGTGCATGCATATGTAGAGGTCAGAAGACAACTTGCAGGAATTGATTCTCTCCTTCCACTTTTTAGGTCCTAGGAATCAAACTCAGATCGTGAGCTTGGCAGCAAGAACCCTTACCCACTGAGCCATCTCACCAACCCTCTTCTCCGGAGTAGTTCCTAGCCCGCCACCTAAGTCTCAACATTTAGCCCAAATTGTCCTCCAATCCTGATCTTCCATTTTAACAGTCAGACTGCTGGGGTTATGGCACACAGCCACACCTGCAGTGCGTCAGCTTGTTTGCCGGTTCTTAGTGCATACTGCACCCAAACCTACACCTAATCCCAAAAGACCTTCAGGCCCTACCCCGAGCACTGCAGGCTAATCCCTATCCCTGTTATGGATTTCAGCTACCCTCTACAGACTTTTAGTTACCCGCATAGCGGAGGCTCTTGCCAAACATGGCAGTCCACAGATAGGGCACCGTGTTGATCTCCGCCTCCTGTGCCAGCATGTTCTGAGCTGCTACCCGCCCTGAAAGACCCAAGGTGGTTAGAGCCCAACCCTTTCCCTTGCCACCCCAACACTGTCTGCCCTCAGCCCACTCTGGGGACCCTTGACAGGTTGTCGTCCAGGACTCCCCAAACATGTAGGCACCATGTTCAACCTACAGCCCACCTTTGATGCAGTTAACTGGTACCGAGGGAACCCGGACCCCAAGAGATCCACTTACATTGCTCCTCTTTGATGTGTTGAGCATCTGAAGGGCCTACTAGGGTTGTGAACTACTTCACAACTGTGTACACAGAAAACTAATCAGACATATCTAACGAGGGACAATGACACTGGAGCACAAAGGCCAGAAGGAGAAATGGCAGCCCACATGGGGCCTGAGGAGTTAGCACAGGTGGCTTTCCACTTCTGAAGCTCCACCTGAACTCATAACTGGATAGATACACTTAAGCTCAGGACAGCCCTAAGTCCTAATTATATTTGGCCAAGGAGTAGCCTTTGGTTTCCTATTCTCTAGCCACAACTTTAGACCTTGAATTTAAACAGATACTAGGGGGCGGGGGGAGATACCATTATTATCAGTCTTCCAGATAATGATGAAGGAAGAATAAAAGGAAGACAGATGTATGGAGCAAATCCCCTGTCCAAGACTAGAAATCTGGAGGTCTTTTATAAGGCCTTGCAATGGTTAACACACTGCTATCTGCATCTTAGGGATGACAACCAGGTGGATATAATCCATGAGGCTCAGGAAACCTGGTGGCTACCAAATGTTCTCAGAGACGGTTCCATAAACCCAGATGAGCCTGGGCTATACAGCTGCCTCTGGGGATTCATAAAGCAACTGAGTGCACAGAGATTACAGTGGTGAGGAGAGACAGGCCTTGAGTGAGAAGCCAGCCTACTAAACAGACCCTTTCTCGAACCCTCTGTGGTAGTTTCTGGTCAAGGGAAAATCCTGCCAAATACATGACCCTAAGAACAAAAAAGGAGAGGACACACGATTGCAGAGGGCTTTGCCCAGCTAAATGGTATACAGAGGGTTTCTGCAGAGGGGCCACTCTGTGCACTGATCACTGGATGGGGCTCATTAACAAGCCACTACCTAGCCTTGAACTTAAGACCCCAAATCAATGACTGGGAAATGGGCCGGAAGGTGGCCGAGACCCTAGGATGGCCTTCCAGCCCTTAACTTGCCTCAGGGCTGGCCATACCCTGGGCATGAGCCATCTGCCAGTGTGGGATGTTCACTTTCCGATTGTTCCTCCAGGCAAGAGGAAAGGTCACGGCATCGCCAGCAGCAAACACGCCTGGGACGTTGGTCTGCATCATCTGTGGGGAGAGGGTCAGGGCTCGGTGGGTGCTACAGGAGCTGATGTGGGCCTCCAGCCACGCCCCACCCAGCATCCTGCCCACCTTGTTGACTGGGATGAAACCTCGGGAATCCAGACCAATGCCACTCTGCCTCAGGAAGCCCGTGGCAGGCACCGCACCTAACAGACAGAAGCCATGCATCCACACTCTGCTCCTTAGCATTTAGTCCCAGGAGCTGTCTGCCCCAATATGTGGTATAGCACTCCCTGATGGGGATCCACAAGCCATCGTCCAGCTTGGCTCTTCCCCAAACTACTATGTCAGCTGGCACAAGAACCAATCGGAGGCTTATCTGTGTCCTAGGTATCAGTTGGTAGCAGTCACCTGCTCCGTGAGGCCTGGGCTAAGCCAGGTTCACATCTTTCCCAAGGGTCCTGTAAAGTGGGTACCCCTGGGATCTCATTTTACAGATGTAGAAATTGAGGCTCACATAAGGGTCCAAGGTCACTTGAAAGTGTGTATGGGCAGCTCTGTTCACTAGCGCCTGCCTGTCTACTCACCAATGCCGACCACACAGACATCTGCCCGCAGAACCTTGCTACTCTTCAGCACCACCTCCTGCAGCTGTGGGGAGGGAGTGGCTGAGCAAACGGGCACAATCCCTGAGCCCAGGAGAGACACAGAGACCAGCAGAGAGAAAAGCCCACCTTGCCCTCCTGAGCCCGCAGCTCCAGCACCTCTGTCTGCATATAGAACTTCACCCGGTTGTTTTCAAACATCTGTACAAGCAAGTAGGCACAGTGGCCGTGGGTGAGACTATGGCCTGGGGCTAGGCTAGTCAATCAGGGTCCACAGGCCAGGCTCACCTTCATAAGGGCACGACCAACACGTTCCCCTAGGAACCTCCGGAAGGGTGTCTCCTCCAGCTCCACCACAGACACGGAGTGGGCCTTCTCAGTCAGATAGGCAGCCACCTCCATCCCTGGGTGATGGGCAGGGGTGGCAAGGCTGGCTCTGACACCGAGGACCAGCACATACAGGGGACTGGCCATGGTGGTTAAGCACCACACACATCCCTTGAAGCTACTCACCCAGGAAGCCCGCTCCCACCACAACAGCGTTGCGGCCACGGGCGAGCCGCACCACGCGATTGGCATCCTCGGGGGTGCGGATAGTGAACACATTCTCCACGTCTTTGCCTTTGCAGTTCAGGGTCTTAGGGCTAAGATTTGGGGTATTAGTGACAGCCTCCCATCCTGGCTGATGCCCAGCTACCAAGTGTCTGGTAAAGGCAGGAGATATCCACCCACCTGCTTCCTGGTGCCAGCAGCAGCTTGCTATACTCCAGCTTGAAGCCATCCTTGAACACAGCCTTCTTATTTCTCACATCCACTGTGACCACCTGTAACCCCCATGAGCAGAGGGAGACCTTGCCACAGGCCTGGGCCTTGCTGCTCACTTCTGAGTTCCAAGATCCCCTAAACCCAGAAGTTGGGCTCCTGGGCAGCAATCGCAGGGCAGTCCCCCAGTCTGGGCTCCTTTATTTAAGTTCCAGGCATCCACTAACCCCTCAAAGCTGTCTCTACACTTCCAAGTTCCACCAGGCTCTCTTGTCTAAACTGGGGTCAAACCATCTCCCCTAGGCTCAGTGCTAGTCCCAGGCCTGGACAAAGGGCTGAGCAATCATACACCCCAGGGGTACATGTGGCCTCATGTCATTTCTGGTTCCCTTGAAGCTCTTTCCTCTCCTCTTTTTTTTTTTTTTGTTTGTTTGTTGTTGTTGTCATTGTTAGTTTTTGTTTTTTGTTTTTTTTTTTCAAGACAGGGTTTCTCTGTGTACCCCTGGCTGTCTTGGAACTCGCTCTGTAGACCAGGCTGGCCTTGAATTCTCAGAGATCCACCTGCCTCTGCCTCCTAAGTGCTGGGATTAAAGGTGTGCGCCAACCAGTGAAGCTTTCTCTTTGCCAGTTTCCACCCTCCCCTCATACCTGGGCTTCAGTGAGCATCTCGATACCATAGGCCCGGAAGAACTCCTTAGGCCTCAGGGCCAGCTGTTCAGGCTGCGCGTCCAGGGACTGGGGAACACGGTCACGAGTCAAGTCCAGATGATAACCACTCCATTTCCTTTTTACTTACTTACTTATTTATTTTATTGAGACAGGGTCTCAGTTTGTAGCTCTGGCTGGCCCGGAACTAGCTAAGTAGATCAAACTCACAGAGATCTACCTGCCTTTGCCTCCCAAGTGCAATAGAGGACACAGAGCCCAGGGAGGGTGAGCTCACTCTGGGTCACATGGGGGCTATAAGACAGAACTCAACAAACCCAGATCTCTCAGGAGCACCACAGACAAGCCTGGGAGACCAGAGCAAACAGTCAGCTTGACCTCCAATTAGTGCCAGGCAAGGCTCTATATGGATGCGACAGGGCCCTGGAGGAATAAGGGTCCAGGTACTGCCCCACTCCCACCTTGCTGAGCTTGGCCCGGTCATAGGGCAGATGTCGATCCAGTGTGCAAAGGACGATCCGGTCTGAGAAGCCCTCTTGCCTCAGTGTCTCTGCACACACCAGGCCAGCAGCACCTGAGGGACAGGACCATAGGCCAAGGCCAAGGGCTCTTCCCCCCTCCACGCTTCCCCTCTCCTTTATCACCCCCAACACCAACCTGCACCCACTATGAGCACATTGGTGCTACTGCTGTGGCCAGCACTTGGAGAGATACACTTGGCCATCACCTTTGTCCTTCGCTGCAGCTGCAGGGCCTGGGAGTGGTGGGAGGGGGAAGCTTGGTTCCTGAAGCTCCAGCCCAGCCTCATCTCCACCCTGCAATCCCTCATCCCATTCCACACCGACCTATCCAAACCCTTCCATCAACCCTGAGTCACCCTGTACCTGCTTGCTTGCCCGAACAGTCACCTTCTCCTTCTCGATCTTCACCTGGGAGGACAGCACAGCGTCAGCACCAAACTCAGACGCTTCAGTCCTGACCCCACGCCACAGGCTCCCACCCTACCTGGAACTTATGCAGACTGTCCAGGCCTGGGAAGTCCTCTAGGTCCCCAGTACTGATGTTGAAGCAGGCACCATGCCAGGGGCAGCGCACACGTCCCCGGGACAGAACACCTAGAAGAGGCAAATGAATACCAGGCTAGAGCCATGCCCAGAGACTGTTCTCTCAGGCTCCATGGGTACTGGATCCTACTGAATCTCTCCCCAGCCCAGGAGATTCCACAAATGGATGAGGGTCCTGGGGCCTGCAAGAATCCCTATATAGGCATGGATGGTCGTATCCCATCTCCCAGGTACACCGCCTTTGCTCACCTTTAACCAGAGGTGCTCCATAGTGGGGACACTTATGGCCCAGGGCGTGGAATTCCCCATTGTCCTTCACCAGCAACACCTTCCCCCAGCCCAGCTCCACTTCCCGCATCCTGGGAGGAGTTGTGTTCAGTTAGAGGTCAAGCCAGAAGCCAGTCACCTCCTCCTGTAAGCACCTCCTCCCAGGGTCCAGTCTTTGGCATACCCAGAGTGGCAGAAGCAAAAAGGCTGCACCCAGGGTGTCAAGAGCCACAGTCCATTTCAGACCACGGCTTCAGCCCGACCCCTCATGTGTGGCCTCTCCCATGCCCTCCACCTCAGGCCCTGCCACCACCCTCGCAGCCCAGCACCCACTGGCCATTCTCGAGGTCCTTGACATGACAGACAGTAGCCTCCACACAGTCCTGGGGGCTGGGGTAGGGCTGCGTGGTGGGCAGGCGCTCTTCGGCATGGAAGTGGCGTGCTGTGCCATTGCCCTGGTAAGCCCGGGGACTGCCCTTTCCGCTGGCAGACAGCTCCTCCTTGCCCCGCTCTTTCTCTGGCAGCACCACTTCAATCTTGAGTTCCACTGTGGACAAAGCAGCCATGAGCCCTAACTGGACCAGCTCTGTTCCCAGCCCACAGGTCAAGCAGTGGCCAGCAAGAGATAAGCTGACTTCAATTCCCTTTTCTATGTTTTCTTGGTGAAGACCCCAGAGACTCAGGCCAGGCTAGCACTCCACACCGAGCTACAGCCAGCCCAGAAACTTCTGTTTTTCCAATGACAAAACTAGTGAAGGAGTCCTAGAACACAGCTCTTCATACCAGAGCCGTTTCCTCCAGGAACCGGGAGGAAAGAACCTGCATGCCTCACTCATGTATCTGAAGATGGGCAAAGACGACGTCACTGCTTGAAGACACACTTGCAGCTCAGTTCACAGCTAGTGTATCTGGGCAAGGAGAAGCAGAGTTCACTGGGGACAGTGGCTCACACTGGTAGTGATGGCACTTCAGAGGCTGAACAGGACTTTTATGAGTCCCAGACCAGGCTAGAGAACAAAGTGAGACCCACATCAAAAAACAAGAAGGGCAGGGGTGGGGACAGGAATCACAGTCCTTGGAACTTTCCCATTAGCTTTGAATATGTTTTGCCATGTTTTAGGGTTTTGTTTATTTTTTAGACAGTCTCATATAGCTGGACTATATACCATAGCCTCATATTCTATATATCGCTGACGACACCATTGAATTCTTGATCCTCCTGTTTCCTCTCAAGCGGTATAATCACAGGTAGATACTAACTATTCCAGGTTAGAAAGTGTATTCTTTTCAAAATTAAAAATAAAAAAATGACTGCCTAGGGCTGGAGAGTTGGCTCAGTGTTAAGAGCATTTCTTGCTGCTGCATGGGACCTGGGTTCAATTCCCAGTGCCCACATGGAGGCTCACCACCTCCTCAGGCACCAGGCACGAATGTGGTGCAAAGATGTACACGCAGGCAAAACACTTAGACACAGAGAATAGTAGAAATAAATCTAAAAGGAAACAGTGTCTATTGCATAGTGGACAGAGCTTGTGAAGCACGCACAGGCTCTGTCCTCAGAACTGCAGTGACAAGAGTAAGAACAATAAATCAATTGTTTAAAAGCCAGAACAAAGCAGAGTAGTGTACACCTGTGATCCCGATACCTAGCAGGTGAAGATAGGAGGGTCAGGAATTTAAGGTCCCCCTCAGACACAGAATGAGTTGAATCCGCCCTGCAGGGGAAGTGTACTCAAGGCACGGCACGCCTTAGCGGCAGAATGACTTGGCAGAGGTGAAACCTAGAATCAACGTCCTTAATACCAAAAAGCGAGGTAAAGTACAGGATATGATTTCAACTTCTTTAGCTCTAAAAGTTTTAAAATAATTATTTACTTATGTATGTGGATGTTTTATGTATGTGTTTGTCTGCATAGCAGAAGAAGGCATTGGATCCCACGTGACTACAGAGACAATCTGCCATGTGAATGCTGGGGACTGAACCTGGATCCTCTGGAAGAGCAGCCAGTGCTGGCCACCTCTTCAGTCCCTTATATATGCTTTAAAATTACTTATGTATATGGGTGTTTTACCTGCATGTATGTCTAGGCACCATGTGTGAGCCTGGTAGTCACAGAGACCAGAAGAGGGCAATAGATTCTCCTAGATCTGGAGTCACACCCAGTTAGGAGCTGCCGTGTGGGAATCAAACCTGGTTCTTCTAGGAGAGCAGCCATCTCTCCAGCCCCAGTTTCAATTTTCATCTCTCTCTCTCTCTCTCTCTCTCTCTCTCTCTCTCTCTCTCTCTCTCTCTCTCTCTCTCTTGTTTTGTTGAGACTGGGTTTCTTTGTGTAGTCCTGGCTGTCCTGAAATTCACTCTATAGACCTGGACAGCCTCAAACTCAGAGATCTGCCTGCCTCTGCCTCCCGAGTGCTGGATTAAAGATGTGCGCCACCATTGCATGGACTTCAACTTTTGTTTTGGTTTTTCAAGACAGGGTTTCTCTGTGTGTAGCCCTTCAACTTCGTTCTATAGCTACGTCCATTGGTTTGGAATTCATTCAGCATTTACCAGACCCCAAGTGGTTGATGTCTCTGTGGACAGGGTCTGGAGCCCTGACAGTGAAGCCACTGAGGGTATGTATGGCAGCCCAGAGAAACAGGCCCATGGCTAGCACGCAGAGACTGTACAGTATCTGTGGGGCCTACACCAGGACAGCAGGAGGAGGTAGCGGTAGACAGGCGTTTTCTTCTTTAAACTTTTCTGCACTTCCCGAAATCCCCATGAAATGCCTGGGGTATTTTTTTTTAATTACAAGGGAACAATAAACAGAATTTTGAGCAGCCATAATCCGGTCTCCTGGGCTGTTACAGTAGGGAGGAGGCCGGGGAGGAGGAAGCTAAACCCCTGGCACAGCATGAGCTATGGCGGGAGCAGGTGGCTCCTCTTTTCAGCCCCCCAGGCATCAAAGGTTTCTTTTCTGCTTTTACCTCTGAACCCCTGACCTCAGACCTGACACCCCAGAAACAAAGGTTACAAGGACCAGCCCGGCTGCTGAGCCCAGGACCCCCATCCTCCAACAGTGGCTCGCTCACATTCAAGTACAGTTCCCATGGTTTCATCCTCTGGCTCTGTAGGCCCTGAATGGGTCCTTAATCTTTGCATGCTGGGTCAAGTCCCCCTCCACATCCAAGCATCCCAGCCTCCCACTCAGGCCCAGCTATTGCAGGGGACAGAGGCAAACAGCAGACTGGACATGGTAGAGAGGACACAGCCACACTGCAGAGGCTGTCACGCGGGGTGGAGACTAACACACTTTATGTAATGGTGTTAGAATGTTTTTGGAAGAATTAAGAAGAAAAATATGTCAGGCTCAGCTGACATAAGGCCGTGAGAGCTGTGGGAGTCCACAGGAACAGCCTGGCAGGGGTGCAGAGAGCCTCCAAGCCAGGCTGTTAGTCTTTCCTCTTTCCAGAAAGCTCCAAAGCATGCTCACTGGCATTCTCCTGGGAAGCCATTAAGTCAGGAGAAGCAGCAAATGGAAGGCTAGGTGGAGGACTCTGCTTACCCACAGAGCCAGGTAACCCCAATCCCATGAGCCATCAGCCCCCCCAGACAGTCATTGCCTCCTGGGCCTCAAGATACTTGATTCACAAGATGAGAGGCCAGGCTATGGCGGGGACCATTGATAGGGTCACACTTAGCTGTCTCCATCATCACAGGAGAGGGATATACTGCCAGGAGTAGTGACTAACACCTATCCAGAGTAGTGACTGACATCTGTAATTGCAGCACTTGGGAGCCTGAGGTAGAAAACTGTCACGAGCTCTTGGCTAGCCTCAGCTTCATAGTGAATGCCAGGTGAGCCTGGGTTATCATGTGAGACCCTGTTTAAAGGGGGGCTAGGGAGGAATGAAGGGCACCTGCCCATTTGCTGATGATGTATGTAACAAGAACAAAAATTCCATTTTTGAAACCGCAGTAGTGGTTTCCAGGTCTTTTATTTGTTTTGTTTTGGTTTTTGTGCCAGGGATTGAACCAGGGCCCCTCACACATTCAACACTCACTCTGCTACTGAGCTACACACATAAGCCCTGGCAATAGAGATCTGTCAACTAGATTTGAGCTTCCTGGCAGACATGGTAAAAAGCAAATGCCTAATAAAAGGGAGATAGGCCAGACTGTGGTGGTGCACGTCTTTAATCCCAGCACTCGGGAAACAGAGGCAGATCTGTGAGTTCGAGGCCAGCCTGGGCTACAGAGTGTGTTTCAGGACAGGCTCCAAAACTACAGAGAAACCCTGGCTTGAAAAACCAACAAAATAAAACAACAGGCAGCTAGATAGACCAAGAGAATTGTACTTCCTATTAGTTTCTTTTTAATAGTGTGTGGTGGACATTCAGGACGGGGAGATGTCTGTGTGTGCTTTAATAGTGTGTGATGGGCACTCAGGACAGGGAGACGTCTTGTGTGTGTGTGTGCTTTAGTGTGTGGTGGGCACTCAGGACGGGGAGACGTCTGTGTGTGTGTGCTTTAATAGTGTGTGGTGGGCACTCAGGACGGGGAGAGACGTCTGTGTGTGCGTGCTTTAGGGAATATGGGGGGATGTACATACATGTCTGTATGTGCATGTGGAGGCTAGGAGCTGGTGTCTATCAGTCACTTTCCATCTCTCCTCTTCTTTCTCTGAACCCAGGCTTCAGTGACTGGCTAGCTGGCTACATGCCCTGTCTCCTCCAACCCCCAATACTAAGGGGTACGAACCACCACATCTGGTTTTCACGTGGGTCCTGGGGATTCGAACCCAGGTCCTGATGCTTGTGTAATAGGTATGTTATTTACTGAGCCATCATCTCAGACCACTTCCTACCAGTTCTGGCATAGGGAAGCAACTGGCTTAAAGTCTTAGGAAGAATAAAGAACATGATGTTGGGTACCTTTAACCCCAGTAATCGGGAGGAAGGGGCAGACAGATCTTTGTGAGTTCAAAGGCAGCCTGGTCCACTGAGGAAGTTCCGGGCCAGCCAGGGCTACACTGAGAACCCTGTCCCAAGAACAAAGACCCTCCAGAACACGACAGGAGAGACTCAGGAGACAAATACTGACAACACTAAGACACAGCCCTGAGAGCAGCAAAGGGGAGAATTTGCACAAAGGTTCTATGTTCACGATTCCTGACTTCAAAATCTACTACAGAGCTACAGTACTGAAAACAGCCTGGTATTGGCATAAGAACGGACAGGAGGAGCAATGGAACCAAGTAGAAGACCCAGATATTAATCCACACATCTTCGAACACCTGATTTTTGACAAGGAAGCAAAAAAATATCAAATGGAAAAAAGAAAGCATAGTTAACAAGTGGTGCTGGCATAACTGGATATCAACCTATAGAAGAATGAAAATAGACCCATATCTATCACCATGCACAAAACTCAAGTCCAAATGGATCAACGACCTCAACATAAAGCCAGCCACACTGAACCTTATAGAAGAGAAAATGGGAAGTACACTTTAACACACTGGCAGAGGAGACCACTTCCTAAATATAACCCCAGGAGCACAGACACTGAGAGAAACAATTAATACATGGGACCTCCTGAAACTGAAAAGCTTCTATAAAGCAAAGGACACGGTCAACAAGACAAAACAACAGCCTACAGAATGGGAAAAGATCTTCACTAACCCCCACATCAGACAGAGGTCTGATCTCCAAAATATACAAAGAACTCAAGAAATTGGTCATCGAAAAAACAAACAATCCAATAAAAAGATGGAGTACAGACCAAAACAGAGAACTCTTAACAGAGGAATCTAAAATGGCTGAAAGACACACTTAAGGAAATGTTCAACATCCTTAGCCATCAGAGAAATGCAAATCAAAACAACTCTGAGATTCCATCTTACACCTGTAAGAATAGCCAAGCTCAAAAACACTGATGACAACTTATGCTGCAGAGGTTGTGGGGGAAAGGGAACACTTCTGCATTGCTGGTGGGAATGCAAGCTGGTACAAACCCTTTGGACGTCAGTGTGGCAATTTCTCAGAAAATTAGGAAACAACCTTCTTCAAGACCCAGCAATACCACTTTTGGGTATATATCCAAAGGATGCTCAATTGTGTCACAAGAACATGTGCTCAACTATGTTCATAGCAGTATTATCTGTAATAGCCAGAACCTGGAAACAACCCCAATGCCCCTCAACTGAAGAACGGATAAGGAAAATGTGGTACATTTACACAATGGAGTCTACACAGCAGAAAAAAAACGACATCTTGAATTTTGCAGGAAAATGGATGAAGCTAGAAAACATTATTTTGAGTGAGGTAACCCAGACACAGAAAGACAATTATCACATGTACTCACTCATAGGTGGTTTTTAAACATAAAGCAAAGAAAGCCAGCCTACAAATCACAATCCCAGAGAACTTAGACAACAATGAGGACACTAAGAGAGCCTTACATAGATCTAATCTACAGGGGAAGTAGAAAAAGACTTTACCCTCCTGAGTAAATTGAGAGCATGGGGACTTTGGGGGAGGATTTAAGGGGAGGGGAGGGGCAGGGAGGGGAGCAGAGAAAAATGTAGAGCTCAATAAAAATCAATTTAAAAAGTTTTCTATGTGCACTGGTCTCATCATAGCCCCTGCTGACTGCTGCTGAATGCCCATGTCCCACACACATGCCCACATCCTGAAACTTCCTGAGCCTCAGCCCTGACTGGAGCCTGAGCCTGTGGCTGTAACCCAGAATCCACCTCAGAGAGGAAGGAACGCAATCACACCTGCGAGTGCTTCATGCCAGGCTCAGAGGCCGGCACAGCCACCCCATTTTCTACATAAGGACATGGCGGACCAGAGGGGGGGGGTAATCAGGCCGTGGTCACACAGGTAGGAGGTTAAAAAGCCCAACTTTTACCATTGTCTCTGAGTAGTAAGAAACACAGTAACATTCTGGGGAAAGGGAAAGACAGATGTAGCCAGCTGTTGAAGGTTCCCACCACCACCACAAAGCCAGACCTTCACCAGGTTAAAATGTGTCCACTCAAGCTGTAAGCCAAGATCAATTTCCCTTCCTTTAAAATACAAAGCTTAGAGGCAGGCGGATCTCTGTGAGTTCGAGACCAGCCTGGTCTACAGAGCTAATGCCAGGACAGGCTCCAAAGCCACAGAGAAACCCTGTCTCGAAAAAAAAAAAAAAAAAAAAAAAAAAAAAAAAAAAAAAAAAAAAAAAAAAAAAA